TGATCGATTCTCATCCAATCAGCAGCATTGTGACATGAAATTATGAAGTTCCTGTTATCGTGAGTTTGCTCGTAGCTACGGCTCATAGGGTCTATGTCCCCCAGGGTACTGCCGGAACGTACCCTGGGTTATGGTTAGAGGTAGAGTTAGGGTTTGAGTTAGGGTTAGAGTTAGGGAGTAGGCGTAGGCGACTCCCCAGACTCGTTAGTGGAGTAGGCGAGGTACGGTCCGGCATATTAGATAGTACCAGGGTACGTTCCAGTATACCGGACCGTACCCAGGGTACGTTCCGGCAGTACCCCGGGGGACATAGACCCTCTCAGAGTAGCTACGATGTGTTTCTGTCAACGCTACTCTCGTAACATTAACATTAGTCGTAAGTGTTATCTTAGCATTAACATTAGCATTAACGTTACGATGTTTCTGACAACGGGCCCCTGGTTTAAATTACTGTTATTTTAAAATTAGTATACGCTGTATATTTCGCGGTGGTGTAATTTTCGCGAATTTCGCGAACGCGTGCCCGACCGCGAAAATAACAACACGCGAATAATTTATACCGACTAATACAGAACAATTCATAATTCACCGACCGCGAAATTAACCACTCGTTAATTGTCCGTCAAGTCTGAATTCACGAAAATATCTGTACGCGAAAAATATGGCGTATACAGTAGGTAAAAAGGGTAAGCCTACCATCTAGGTAAACTAAACTAGGTTAAAAATTTGATGTTTGTATCACCAGTTTCACATGCCTATGGTGGTTAACAATTAACCTACTCATGGTGGTAAAGATAGATAGGAGATAGACCTAGATAGACATGTCATGTCATCGAATATGGGTAGCACAGACATTTGGTCCAGCGATCTTAGTGTCATAGGCCTCCTAAAGGGGCAGCAGGGTGAGAGAAGGTCCATGTTGGTGTTTGATCTTAGCAAATAAACCACGGAGTGCATGGGCGCAACCACTGGAGGGGTCGTGGGGTCACGACCCCCCCCCGACTTTTATGTGGACCTCCCCAACTTCTGAAAGACCTTATTTTCTGGGAGGTCCAAAATAGTCCGATAAGCGTTTATTATCGTGAAACATCCATATTTCACAGGTGAAAGTTAAAATAAATAAAAACCCAGGTGGTCAAGTGCAGTGTGATAACTGTGATTCAGATTCAGATATCTAAATAGAACCCTTGTTAATATTATTTAGATTCGACCTACATAGTACATTCAATCTCACGTGCATGGAACGAGCACGATATTCACCACGCGTTCGCAAGCCAACTGTGTTATAGAAACACACACAAAATATAGGCCCATCTCCACACAAGCGGCGCGTCGCGGCGCGGCGCCGTTCACCCTTACCTTCTAATCTATGATATCTTTTGGCGCAGTCTCCACTGACACTGCACGGCGCAGGCCTGGTTTCATGGCGACGGCGAAAAGACAATTGAACCAATCAACGCGATTGTTTTTTATCACGTGTTCTGGAATCGATATTGAAGCAATTGCAAAGGATTTTGTTGCAAAGTGTGACTCAAGGAAGGTCACATTTGGTTTCTAACACTGTTCTCTGTTTTCACGTGTCAGGCATTTTTTTGCATTATTATTTTCATCATTATTATTTTCCTCTTCATCTTAATCATGCTAACTGTGTCACACAGTTAGCACAGTCTGTGTGTAGCATTACTACTAGTTTAATTTAATTAATAAAACATATTGGTATTTTATCTATACATTATCCTAGTAATGTCATTCATGACATCACAATTATGCAACACTTCCATCAACACGCTGAAATACGTGATATTGAACCAATACGTGATATTCGCTCGCCCGCAGATCACGTTTCTATTGGCTGCTTGTGACCCCCCCCCCCAACTTTCAACACGTGGTTGCGCCCTTGACGGAGTGGCTCATTAATTATGATCAACGCGGCCGACTTTATTTTGTTATAAGCGACTCTCTATGTGACTCATATGTGACTAATTTCTGATAAATCACAGTAAACCCCATATATAACATAATAAATCACACGTGGATGTTAGCATTTAAAAATAAAACAACAGTGACCGTGAATTGCATGACTATATTACCAATGAAAAATTTTGTTCCGAAATCGCTTTGCGTACGTCCACCGCGAGAATCCATCCCCAGCGTTATTGATCCTACAAGAATAATGTTTTATTTCGAGGCAACACATATGGGTTACACAATTTGGAAAATCTCGACAAACTAGAGATGTAACAATGACTGCCGCCGTGTATACAGTTAAAGATTCCGACATTACACGTTACGGCCTTGCCAACATCGTTATACAAAACATCGTTTACAAACGTCGTACCGATAGTTATACTTTCTTGGTAAAATCTTGAAATAAACGCGATTTGCGATTTTGCCTGCCTGCCACACATGCATAGGTAGGTTTTCCTCGCCAATCTTAAAATGATTTAAAAAAGTCTCTAGATTACCCTTTGCAGTCCTATGCCATAGGCGTAGTGCCAATGAATGGAGGTGTGTAGAATTAGGGGTGAATAATATTTACAGATTCTATCAATCTGACCTTAAACCCAAATGTTAATGATAGAGTTCTCTTACCTCTTAGAATGAGAACATACTCTATCCGGTATGATCTGTATATACAGAATCAGATATATCGCGCTTCTACGCTATATAACGTAATAGGAAAACGTTACTAAAAGCATATATTATTCGAAAAGTCTACTATATTCGTTTACTCTATTGTTTTCTACGTTAAAGCACTATGAACATGTGTACTTGTGGTATTTACATTATGCTAAGATACGCCCAGCTTAGTGATTCTGTGCAAAATACTATAACAGGGTGTTTGCTGTCTATGCATATCATGAACTCATCTATAACACAGAGCCTATTCGTTTTTAATACCGTTTTTTTATTAAGATATATAGAAACAGCTCTAATAACTGAATAGTTTGTTATAATTATATTACTTTATTATAATAACATAGAGTTGTTTCACTATACACTTATGCAGAATATATTTATGCAGAAATAATGTATCGCACAATAACATGTCTAATTGACATAAAACCGCGCATTTATTTTAAAATTGACTCCATCACCAACCTAAACGTCTATTTATTTTATTCCAAGGAATTTATTAAGTGCTTGGATTAAATGAATACAAATCAATATATTACATGTTTTACATGTTTATTTATAAGGATAAAAATAGATATGTTCTAGACTACTTAATCAATGTTACAACATAATAAGCTACTGTCTTGTATTTATTATTGAGATATTATCAGGAGTAAGATAATATAGACTATCTATATCTATATTATCTTACTCCTGATATTATTAATAGAGTCTAATTGTGTTCACTTTTACAGATTTATTGAGAATACACTATGTGCACTCTCCATTTATATGTTTATTACAAAACAACCCCATTAAAAGTTCCCTTTGATATATATATATATATATATATATATATATATATATATATTGTTAAGAGGAGCTGTACCTGCCATGTTTCACTGTGTATAGTTTTGTCAAGCGGTGCGCGGAAACAAGTTTTGCCAACGTGACTTAGACACCTGCAGATCGGTATATAAAAGTGCAGTTCGGCCACACGTGACACGTTTTCTTCTGGCCGGTGACAAACGGCGGAGGCGCAAGTCGCTCACTTCGCAATATCCGTGAGATGTAAGTTATTTGAACAACTTTTCGCATGCTGTTGGTGCTTAACGCCTCCGAGCTTTAGTAAAAAGTATTAAGAATACGGATATTAAGGACAGAGCGCCTCCACCGGAGATAGTCGGTCAGAGAGCCGTGCCAGCACATAATGCTAGGGGCACACGAGCGATTTTTATCGCCCGATCGCGGCGATTAAAATTGCCAGCGAATTTAATCGCCCGATCACGAAGGGGCACACGTAGCGATTTTTATCGCCCGATCACGAAGGGGCACACGTGACGTAGCGAATTTGAGAGCGTACGCGTACGCCACTCGACAGAACATTTAACATCACATGATATCAACAACACGTCCGATTGGTTTAGAAAAATCGATCGGGCGACAAAATACGCCGGTCACGGGCACACGAGCGATAATAATCGCCCGGCGTAAATAATCGCCCGAAAATATCTAACATTTTGGATACGGGCGATTCGGTCGGCCGATTAAAATCGGCGTCGACGTGAACGGGCACACGGGCGATTTCTTCGAGCGATTTCAAAATTCGCGGCGATCGGGCGATAAAAATCGCTCGTGTGCCCCTACCATAAGAGAAGTAAGATTAACATACTGGTACGTTATTATTGCGATGCATAAGGGTATTGTACGATGTTTGTGCGACGCGCGAGATTGTGAGATGTTATTTTGGAAGCGCGTAGGAATCGCGTAAGCTAGTAGTGCGGCGTGGAGAATCGCCGTACAGTATTGTCACGCGGTATACGGGTTTTGGCGTGGCGGCACTTTATGTAAAATGGGTCAGCTATTAGCTTATTGTCATTGATTTAGGTTATTAAAAGAAATCTTGTAAAATACCTATAATCGTTCGTGCATTTCTGTTGCGTTATTCGCATGGCGGTCAACGCTGTTTTTACGCACGTAACAATATATATATATATATATATATATATATATATATATATACAATTTAACAAACCGAAGTAAAACTGTACGCAACTTCATATCAAGCGGTAAACTAGTGGTTTAACAGCCATGTCAAATCATGGTTGCAACGTTCATCATCAAAATCTTTTCGCTTCTGCGTATGCTTTTTTTATTTACATATGCAGGGAGAAAGAAAATAAAATTATCATTACGAGTCTAATCAGACGCTAGACAAAGCACTAATGAGAAGAAGAAGAAGAAGAAGAAGAAGAAAAAAAAGAAAGAAGAAGAAGAAGAAGAAGAAGAAGGATAATGATCCGGATAAAGAGGAAAAAGAAGAAGTGAAAGACGAAGAAGGAAAGAAAGCAGAAGCTAATGACATTACGCCTTTTTATATCATCAAACATGCAACGCAATCGTAAATTCAGGCTTTATCTGAAATGTTACCGATAATTCATCACCATAGTTAATACCATTTAGAGGCATGTATTTTAGTCACGTTTATACAAGCTAAATCATATAGATGTAAGAATGAACTTTCAAGCTGCTAATGTTATATAGAGATACGCTTGACTCATATCCAACAAACTAATTGTGCCGGCAGTAAATGCATCTAGAGGAAAAAAGCGGGGAAACAATTGTGCCTGATAGAAAGTGCGAAACGCAAGTCGAGGACACATTATTTTCGTGTTTACTTCGAGATCTTGGTGACTTGAATAATGATCATGATTTTAGTGCCACTTATATCTATATGCTGTGTATTACGGCAAGATAGCGGCGTTATATTTTCAACTATCATTCCTCGTACCGGCGACGTACATACATGAAGTATCCACAGGAATTACCAATTCACTTCTAGGTGAAACTACTTCTTCGCCGCACATCTGAAAATCTCTTTTCAAATCGTACGCTTTTCTTTCTTCGACCAGCGCGATTAGCTGCCATAGATGGCGACGACACGTCATGGTGAACGTCGGCAACGAGGTGTAGTGGCTGGTTCTGCTGCACCGTTTCGAAACCCAATCCCTCCTCGCCAGCATGTTTCGTTAGTATGGCACTTTCATCTGTTTCGTCTACAGCAGCGAAGGCGGGATTTCGGTACGCTGTGCTCCTCTTTCTTGCCACGTCGCTACGACGTCTCGTATCGTTGGCAAAAACGCTAGTGCCGTCGTCGCCGTTATAGTCGTCATCGTCGTCGTCGTTGTCGTCGTCGTCGTCGTCGTCGTCGTTGTCGTCGTCGTCGGTCTTTTTGCGCAGTTTGAACGCGAACGCGACGCTGCTTTTGCGTCGCATCTCCGCGTAGTTTGTGTTGGGGTTGGTCTTCTCGTCGCTGAATTGTCTGATGATCTCCTTCGGTGTCTTGTCAGACGGAATTTGCCAGGTACTCACGCGTCTGTTTAACGCGACGAGAGTCTCACGTCGCATTGTCAGGCGACGGAAAATCTTATTCTCCTTGGGCCCCTATGAAGACGGGAAGAACTTAGATAAAAGAACCACTGAGGACGTAAAACACTAGAAATTCATACGATCAGTGCCATGGGAAATGCTTCAATGTCAGGAAAAAGGCAACGAAATAGAAAAATAAGATGAAGAAAAACAAGAAAAAGAAGAAGAAGAAGAAGAAGAAAAAGAAGAAAGGAACGAAAGAAAGAAAGATAAAGAAGATGAAGAAGAAGAAGAAGAAAAAGAAGAAGAAGAAGAAAAAGAAGAAGAAGAAGAAAAAGAAGAAGAAGAAGAAGAAGAAAAAGAAGAAGAAGAAGTAGAATTAGCTATCTATCGACAACGCACAGAGAATTATTTAAAAAGTACATCTGATTTTTGAAAAGCATATTTGTAAAATGTGTATTTTTACATGTACAGCAATCATTATTAACTCCCCTATTATTATTAAACTCATAGTCAATAACATTGTTTTTGAACAAGATAAAAAAAGCAAATTATCTAATTTAGAAGCAATATGAATTGAACTATTAGTTGACACTTATATTACACAAAATAAGTATTGTGTTGAATACGCAATCGTCATGTAAAACATTACAATATATTATATAAATATAAGTAACATAAATTCATTGAAAATAATTCAACAATTTAAGTTTTAACTGTACATAGTTAAGACGTTCACACCTAAACTCCCTTTTGATAGTTTACATTTTGTTAAATAAAGCGAGCACTACCTATCGTGGCACAGTCACTTATCGCCTTATAAAGTGTTTCGTGTTTCATCATTTTTCGTTTTTCATCTGCTTTTACTGAAATCTGACCGGCGAAGGAATGCATGACTCGTGGCGCCTCCCAGTGATGGATAACTTACCGTTAAGTCAAGATCGCCCGTTCCGATCATCTGTAGTCGCTTTACCAATGCTTCCTCGTAGTTAACTATCGTTTGCCGCCTTTTTTTCGAGCGGTTTGCCATATTAAAGATGTTCAGTCTTCGTCCATTCTCATCTACGGGAATCTCGTCATCTGGCCGTGATCCTAACGAGTAACGCAATATCATTTTTTGATTATCACCACTATTGAATTAGATGAAAATCCTTGATAGTACAATGTTTATAGCTTTACTAATGACGGTCACATAGTACAGAGGATACGTTAAATTACAAGATCTCTATTACGAATACGAAGGCATCTTATTATAACGTCTAACGGGAAGTATTCGTGAGCATTGGCGATTGGCGTAATATAGTAGTTGGCCCAACCTGCATTCGCGTCGTCTTCGTCCGCGCCTTGGAGATTTTGCAGCTCCATGGCAAGCCCTACACCGTACGTGTCCATCTCACTATCTGCATCAAACAGTTGTTTTGTTCGTGATTCCCAGCACAAGTCCGTAAGGGCTACGATGTGGCTCATTGTTGTCCATCTATCGCAAATAATTGGTGTGATTTGCAGTTCAACTACGATGTCAAGTTTAAACAGTAGCGGTACTACGCTCTCCGTGTAAATTGTGCTACTAAATCCGAGCAAAGCCAAGTCACGCGTGCAGACTCTCACTATGCTTTTATGTGATTCCCCATATTATTCTGTGTAGTCACAATTTTATTAAGAGATGGACCAAATATAGACTACAAGTACTTGATACTTTGAGGCGCCCATCTAAGGATTCGATATATTAATGAATCGTTAACCCATTAACGCTCTATATATCTGTTCGTTTTCAACTCATTTCCATCAAGAATGAACAGAATTAAGTCTAATTCCTATCGTTAACATGAATCGCAGCAAGTTACCTGTGTAAAAACATGGCAGATAGCTGCACCAGTAAGATTAGCACGTAGAAGACGAGGAAGAAGAACCCGATAGGTTCCAAGAAGATCTGCTCGCCACTGGAGTTCGTTCCGAACGGCCAAGGAATATAGAGTTGGTTAATCTGCAGTAAGAGCAGCAGTATGATGAGAAGACCGTTGGTGATCGAGAAGAAGAAGACGGCTTTGTTACGCAGATTCCTTAGGTCAACCTTTACTGTAGCCTGCTCCTTATCAGTCTATACGAATGAAAACAGATTCATCAACGTCGTGGTCACTGTCCTTACGTCCTTACTGCTATGTTGCTATATATATATATATATATATATATATATACTGGATATAAAAGGTCTACGCTGTGATCAGGCCAAATTATTCACAAAATCATTTATTTCCAATAAATTCGTCCTAATATTCCAATAATAACAGCGGATTGCAGTTTACTAGAGCAAGACCGTTAAATGGAAATTCACTAGATGCGTGATCGATTTAGTTTGTCGATTAGTTGGGGGCAAATAAGATGTAATTGCTTCTAATCGAAATGCGTTTCTTCTCACTGGGTTAACGGGTACAGGTAGAGATCTATGAGACCATTCCAGAATATGACTTCGTCCTCATCTAGGTTTGTGTAAACGCCATACTTCATGCAGTCATCAGTTATCCAGTCGGGATTCTGCAGGTCACTAACGATATATTTTCCTCGTCGCTCTCTGTAAGAATCACTTCAACGCATCAAAATAACATAAAGTCACCGTATTAACGGAGAGTCTCGACTCTAAATTGTGAATTATTATTGTGTTTGTGAATTCACATAGTATCGTTGGATTTAGAGATTTACCATTATCCTGTGGCTGCTTAATAGCTGAGCGAAGGACAGTGCTTCCATCTTGAGCAACAGGAATGACTGTAAAAATAAAGAGCACGAGACTATATAGTTTTATCTAACTGAAGTAGATCTGTCGACATTTTGAGTATATGGACGTATATGTGTTGTAGACAGCTCTTGAAAAAATACTGTATAAATATAAACCAGCTTTTATATGACATGGCTTAGCAAGTAGGTACTACATCAATTAACGTATGGGGCTGTTGTCATTACGGGAAAATAACGTACCGATGCAATGCGATAATATTTAAAGCAGCGTTCATATTTATCTATTTGAAAGAGTCCATTCCAATGTATGGCAATGTATGCTTTTATATCCGTATTACAGGCGAAGGTCGGATCGATTGAAGAAGGGGCGAGTATCAGTGTCCAACGACACGTTATCCATCGCTGCATCGCTTTCTGCATCCGTATGTATGCCTTGGTAGAGTATCATGGTATCCACCTTGCCCTCTACGCGCTTTATTTCAGACAGTACTCGCATTTCCCCGTAGGCCGACGCTTGACGGTTCGGGTACATGCAGCAAGTCAGTTTGCAACATTGGCCACAGATGAGTGACATAGGACCGTCTGCTTTTTCTTTGCCTTTGTCTGATTTAAAATATTATAAAAACTGCCAGGCGGCTGTAGACTTTTGTTTCTCCACTTCTTTATTCGCTTCCTTTGGCTAGATCTTCTTTGATCTCTGCTTTTGATTTTGTTGCTGCCACCTGGCAAAGAAATTTATCGTTATTTATTTAACTGAATAATTAAGCTAAAATCTAAAACTACATTTTATGTAAACCAGTTCACTCTTTACACTAACAGCGAGTTATTTCTCTATACTGTTCTTGTACTTTATTTCTTTTTATTTAATTGTGTAATGAAGATGAAGATCATAAAGCACATTAGTTATTCATAACTATACTGGTTTGTCAGTATACAACTCATTATACCTCTCGCGTGCCCCAAGAAACATCGTTCAGATTGCAGAGAGAGTAGATAATGAGCAGCATGTACATAGATGGAATGGAGATGAAGTAGAGCAAGAAGTGAGGAAGACAAGTTTCATCACCTTTCAGGATGCATAAACCCAGCAATAAAGTTAGCACCTGTAAAATGTTACAGACAATGCTCTATGTAAGTAAGCAATCTTTCTCGTTCTAAAAAAAACCTCCTATAGGTTAAGATGCAGAAAAACTTTTTTGTTCAGAGACATTATTTGCTACAAAAAACTGACAACTATTTTAAGATTAACAAACATAGCTAAACATTATTGTTAGGCATTTAAATTTTTTACGATAACAAACGGTATTAAATTATGATAATCAGTAGTGTCATGCACATAGATGTTGATATTAAACTATCACTACAGCATTAACACGAATCAAAGGCATATAGACTGTTTATGCGATCTTGTTTATCTGCCGGAATATTTGGCTTAAATAAGAATTCCTACCTCTCCTGCACCAGCTGTTCTTTCTAATAATATGCACCACGAAAGAGATCGCAGCGTATATCGTGATGTTTCCCGCATTTAAGGCCCATTCACACCAGCTCACGCTCATCACGATCGCCCACGCTCGCAAAAATTTGCCCGAGCGTGGTTGAGAGCGTGGCCAATTGGGCCCACGCCGGGCCGCAGCGCCGATACTACGATCTAATTACGTCGATACTACGATCTAAGTGCGTCTTTACCCCCGATCTCACTGCGCTCAACAAGCTTTCACCAGCGTTCAACACCAGCGCCGCGCATCACGCTTGCACTGCGCTCACTGCGTTTTATTGCGGACCAATCAGATCGCATTGCGTTCGAACGACGCTTGCACTGGCGCCTAAGCAACGCTCACCGCGCCTCAACTGCGCGCCAGTCACGCCGTAGTGCGACTTAATCACGCTCTAGTCAGGCGCCGACTGCGCTGGCAACGAGCCATATAAATAACCGCGGCCGCGTTCTAGAAATCATCATTCGTTCTGTGCCCGTGCTGTTCCATCAAGATTATTTTCTACTGAATTTATACCCATAATAGTATAATATATGTATCAACAACTATGCCGCCAAAAGACTTCTATTTCTCCTCCTTCATCTCTGCCTCATGATGAGGGCTGTGCAATCAAGTATTCGAGGATTGTCCTTCTACGAGAAAACATGGCAATGGAGTAGTGTTGCCTCATCCATAGTGAACACTGGTGGGGTGGCCAGGGTAGTCCCCAATTTATACCCCAAGTTCGCAGGACGTGATCTGAGCGTAACTAACACGTTAATGCGAACGCACAACTGCGTGTCTGAGCGTGTTGGGAGTAGTACACAATCGTCTGTAGCGAACGGGTCGAGCTTGCTAGAGAACGCACCATGGTCATAGCGAAAGCGTGTCAGGTCGCAGAGACATCTCCATGGACGTAGTAACAGCGTGATGAAACGTATTGACATCGTGTGAGAACGAGGCGACAATTTTCACGCACCCGGACCACAGCTTTGGCGATACGATCATTACGTTCGTACTACGCTCGAGTTAGCGTGGGTACATACGCCTTCCACGTCTCTAATACGCCCGCACGTGCGAGCTGTATTTCCGCGCACGCTCCGGCACCATGATAGTATTGAAATGTCAAAGTTGTCGCGCCACGCTCTGCCACGTCATGGTGACTGCACCCGCTCGATCGCGATCGCAGTTACTGTCCATATACTTCATACTGCGGTTCTAGACACGTTTCCACTCAGCGCTCTTTAGAGCGTAGTACGAGCGTAAGTCGAGATCGGGGGCCCTGGTGTCGAATGGGTATTACTAACCGAATATCAAATAAGGGCACAAAGCTGTTGGCGACGTTAGTCCCATCGCCGGTTTGGATCTGTATCGCCATGGGCGATGATAACGGCCAATCATAACGAAGCAGTAAACAATGGAGAGCACTCACAGCATACTTGAGCTGTTGAGAATGTCAACACAACTACATATAATAAGACGGCAGCACAAAAAGGCTTGCAAACGAGCCGACTAATAAATCCAGGTCCATCGGCTTATATGTTTTTAACAGTTACACGGGGTTCATACACACGTCACCTTATGTAGTTATCCGTGAAAGTCAAGTAATGTTCCCAACTTAACGCGCTTCAACGTTGAGCTCTTAATTAGTGAAATGACACCATAAATCATTGAGAATCATCTCTTGAGAAAACCTTTTCATAATCAACCCGTGTGGTTTCAGCACGGGGACCTTTAGGAAATTATTAGTTCCATGTGATATAAAGTAAAATCGGTTGCTGGCGACGGTGATCTCGTCAATTTGTGCTATGATGAGCGGGGTCTGTGGGAACGGCCAGCCGAAGTTTTAATTACGTTACACTCACCTGTACGCTCCGACTTCGCGGTTAAGACATCGTAGAAGAATCGCGACAGGAGCACAGGAATGACAGTAACGGAAGAATGCCGTCAGATCTGGAGATGTGAAATGCCTGGCTGACAGTGCATTGACCACGCATAATCATCAAATGCAGAACGTCGTTCCGGTCAACATGATGAACGCTAGAACAGCATCACTACTTGGTACACTGATGTACTTCTGTACCCGTAGTCCGTAATGAGATTTGATTACAAGGTTGAGACTCACATCTTACCGCTTGAAATCGAATATGTGGTTGGTAGTGGTGTAAGCCCTACGTGGTTTTTATAAGACACCTCTAGGGATAACTCTCTCTGTTCACCAATAAGGCGATCACCATTTGTTTATTATACCGTACTCGAAGTTATAATAAACCCCATAAGTGTCATCTAGGGTGGCATAATACTACTACTACTAATAATAATAATAATAATCATAATACTACTACTAGTAATAATAATAATCATAAAATAGTAATAATAATAATAAGAAGAAGAAGAAGAAGAAGAAGAAGAGGAAGAAAGAAGAAGAAGAAGAAGAAGAGGAAGAAGAAGAAGAAGTGCAGAAAATCGCACTACTGGGAACAGCACACATCCTGCGAAAAATTCTGGATTGAATCCCTATGTCCGCTACGGTTGGGAGCAACTGGTCAAACCCAGAAGCCACCGGCTGTAATGCCGTGCACCACTTTGGAAAGTACATAATAATAAATAATAATTAAAAAGTTTTCACTACTACTAGCTACTATACTACATACTAACTACTACTACTAACTACTGCTCCACCTCTACTATCTACTACTGACTAACCTACTACTACTACTACTACTACACTACTTACTATACTACTTTCTACTATACTAGCTACTACTACTACTACTACTACTACTACTTGCACTATACTACTACTACTACTTTACTACTACTACTACTTACTACTTAGAATGCGCGCGCGTTTTCAAAAGCCGATGGGCCGCTTAAACTAGTGTTTCCGCAGACATATGAAGCAGCAGAACCGAAATGCATTGCATCCGCGATGAATGCGGACATTAGTAGCCAAATTGTCTCATAAAGACACTACTAATTACTACTACATTGGTACATCAGTGAACACGGTATCGACATTTTCTGGACCCCGAAAGACATCGGTATACGTTTTGGCTGATAACGTTCTTGTGAGTGCAGACAACAGTCTAAGAATTGCTTGGCCATTGTAGATGGCACTCAGCGTCGGCAGCTGCGTTGTACCGCAACTCGGATGAAGACCCTCAGGCCATTAGTTGAAAGCGGCGGCGGCTGCCGAGTATTCACCCTGTATCCATGCTAGGCAAGTAGCACGCGTGCAGGAGCCCTGAGCCCTATCGCTTCGCCTATAAAATCACAGTTCATGATTGCTTCGTGTATAATAAGCACGTATATTGTTATATAAGCACGGTATATAAGCACGTAATATTCGTTATATGGCTTCGTTATATTAATATATATAATATATATATATATAATCAAGCGATCAGAGTTACAACATCGACAACACTGCTATCATTATGAGAGTTAACGTAGAGAAGTAAAGTAGAAGGCGCGCCTTTTTACCGACAAAATGTGTTGAGGCACACGAGCGTTGTTGTCCCGTGCTATTCTTACATTTCAGGTATTATACGTTGATAGTGCTGTTTTTTTGGGGGAAGGGGGGGTTAAGGCTTTTGACTCGGGTGCTGTCGTCGTTTTCATCATACTGTTTAAATTTATTGCTAACACGACTAAATATTTTTTACGAAACATTTTGGTTAGTATATTTCATAGTTTGAAACGTACATTGCATTGGCGCTCTTTGTTTTGCCTGGAATTGCCTCCTTTAACTGCCGGGAATTGCCGAATGTTATAGTAGAGATTATGATTACTGTTACGTAAACTACGTATACGAGCTTCAAACAGGCGTACATGCGCTGTAATTTTCATTTATCCCACCCCTCGATGATGATTATAGGCCAGCGTACGCACGTACATACCACACACACACACACACAGCTCACATCACACCATCACACCACACACACGCGCACACACACACACACACACAACACCACACAACACACACACACGACACACACCACTACACACACATATATTATGTGATATATATATATATATATATATATATACCAGTATTAAGATATATCAGCTCGAACGAACCTCCTGGTGATATCGAAGCAGTATAGCGATGTATGGTTGCCCTAAGTCCACGTTGAGCTTAATTTAAGCCACTAGGAAGTGGCGAGTAATTATTTGCGATACATTTGTAAAAGGCGATACGTTTTACCCTCCGCCTGGTGGTGATAAACAACCGTAACAGTCTACGTACGTGCGGTAAATGATTATGATATCCAGTGACATTATGTAGGTAAATAATATTCGTGCATGCATGCGCTGAAACCTTTACAGGGAATTATCTAGGAGCGCACTTCGACGAGATGCGCGATTACGACCAGGATGCACGGAGGACCATAATCTGGGTGTGCGACCGTTTTAAACAAACTGCGTTTACCTCGAATTTTCCCAATGTAATTTGTGCAGTAAAATAGACGCACACGTGATAAGCTATAACCTGATCGTGCGGCCGCACGCCATGCTGGGTGGGAGGTGCAACAACGCACGCGCACGCACGCACGCTCACACTCACACGCACGCACGCACGTACGCACGTACGCACGCACACGCAAGCACGCTCACACTCACACGCACGCACGTACGCACGCACGCTCACACGCACACGCACGCGCGCACGAACGCACACACACGCACGCACGCACAAGCACGACCAACTATACCTTGATCATACTGCACGTAGTGCCTGGCCTCGCTGGAGCGCGTTGTGTATCGTTTCATGACATTGGGCGCCAGCAGGGCGCTGGCACGGAACAGGCTGAAGCATCCCGGACTGCAGAGCACGCAGCCTAGCATGTGCTCGGTCGACTTCTGCAGCCAGTGTCCGATCGCGTACTCGAACTTCTGATACCACACCATCGGTCCTGTCGGATCGATAAACGCACTGAATCACATTGACACCGACAAACAACGCTACAACACTCGCGTGAGAAGACGCGTTTTACAGAAAGATCAGAAATGTGCCAAGCAGCACGTCGTTTTTGTTGTTCGTGTAATAACTTGCACCCAGTACTAATTCACTAATTATTGTCTATATAAGTATCTCGACTGTGCCCATCACGTCGTGCTATTCGCCAACGGCTATTGCGTTCAGACGATCAAAAAAAGAGTTAAATTAATAAAACAAAAATGCCACAATAGTTAGCCGTGACATGCTTACACGAGATGGATGAGTGAAATATGATCCAACTACACATATGATTTCGCGATCCTATACAGCGATAGAAAATGATACGGTAGACGTTTTTTTGTAAAGCTGTATAATGTTCACTACTTTATCAATTGCAAAACCCTATGGCTAGCAATAAGATACCAATGTTGAAATAGCAGCTAAGACACATCTCTTAAGCTGAGTTTACACTATGGACAAGTCGACAAAAAGTATATGCATGGAAATGTTTTTCAACGTTCTATCAACCTATTCTATGAGATGTTCAAAGTTTTTACGTTATGGCTGGCGAGTCGGCAAATGTTTCAACAATTGACCCGCACTGTACGCACGGGGAGCCATGGATACGCATTTTTTCACGTATTAATTCGCGCCAGTGTGGCGCCGATAGCAGAAACGCGCTCTCTCCCTGGTTGAAGGTCCGCACCTCTTGATTGCGATTATCGGAGTGGCTGAGTGACAATTACAATTAACTTGATCAACTCGCTGACCAAAAGTTGAGAAAATAGAACATGTTCTAAATTTTCAACCAGTTGCTATCAACTTGTTAACCGCTCAAATTTTACGTTTACACTGCCGACTTTCGGTAGATTAGTAGAAATGTTTATCAGCTTGTCAACTTTTCAGCAAAATGTTAATAGGGTAAACCCAGCTTTAGATGAACATCATTAGGAAATCACAAGCGGGACAGGTATAAACCATCTGGTGAAAGAGTTTGGAGACCGAGTTGAAAGAGAATAGATATAACGCGTGGAATCTAATTATCGGGAAGAAGATAAATAATACTTAGCAATTAAAAAATATTTGATTCAGCATATTACAATCACAAATTCGTTATTAGGGCACGAAATAGATTAATACATTTATCATAACAGATTATGAACAACAGGTAATTATAACTGTTTACCTGATCCGATCGGGTGAATTCTTCCGCACGCTGCGCCAAGACTATAATTCCTTTTCATCAAGTCGACTAACGTGATTATTGCTGAGGGTTTGAAGTCCACATCTCCATCAAGAGCGAGTATATACGTATTGTCAGCAAGCCTTTGTTTCGTATACGTATCAACATCCATCAGGTCGTATAGCTTATATCCGAGCAGATAGTACATGTACATGCACTGCAATAGGGACAGCAAAATGTGATAAGTTCGTTCAGCAAATCGTTGCCTAGATCTGACCATCGCATTCACTTTCACTGATCGCTGGGTAGGAGCCCTGCCACGCCCACGCTAGCGGAGCTCGAAGACTGCATTGTGTATAAACTCTCGCTTACAAAACATGAGCAACATATTATCGGGGAATATAAAAATAAACAATGAAAATAAACAAGTTATAGGGATTTTTAAATGGCCAAACACATAAAGAGACGAAGTGTCCCTGTTGTCACACACATGGAAATTCACTAGATGCGTGATCGATTTAGTTTGTCGATATAGTTGGGGCAAATAAAGATGTAATTGCTTCTAATCGAAATGCGTTTCTTCTCACCTGGGTTAACGGGTACAGGTAGAGATCTATGAGACCATTCCAGAATATGACTTCGTCCTCATCTAGGTTTGTGTAAACGCCATACTTCATGCAGTCATCAGTTATCCAGTCGGGATTCTGCAGGTCATCTAACGATATATTTTCCTCGTCGCTCTCTGTAAGAATCACTTCAACGCATCAAATAACATAAAGTCACCCGTTATACGGGGAGAGTCTCGACTCTAAATTGTGAATTATTATTGTGTTTGTGAATTCACATAGTATCGTTGGATTTAGAGACTTACCATCATCCTGTGGATGCTTAATAGCTGAGGGAAGGACAGTGCTTCCATCTTGAGCAACAGGAATGACTGTAAAAATAAAGAGCACGAGACTATATAGTTTTATCTAACTGAAGTAGATCTGTCGACATTTTGAGTATATGGACGTATATGTGTTGTAGACAGCTCTTGAAAAAATACTGTATAAATATAAACCAGCTTTTAATATGACATGGCTTAGCAAGTAGGTACTACATCACATTAACGTATGGGGCTGTTGTCATTACGGGAAATAACGTACCGATGCAATGCGATAATATTTAACAGCGTTCATTTTATCTATTTGAAAGAGTCCATTCCAATGTATGGCAATGTATGCTTTTATATCCGTATTACCAGGCGGAAGGTCGGGATCCGATTGAAGAAGGGGCGGAGTATCAGTGTCCAACGACACGTTATCCATCGCTGCATCGCTTTCTGCATCCGTATGTATGCCTTGGTAGAGTATCATGGTATCCACCTTGCCCTCTACGCGCTTTATTTCAGACAGTACTCGCATTTCCCCGTAGCCGACGCTTGACGGTTCGGGTACAATGCAGCAAGTCAGTTTGCAACATTGGCCACAGATGAGTGACATAGGACCGTCTGCTTTTTCTTTGCCTTTGTCTGATTTAAAAATATTTAAAAACTGCCAGGCGGCTGTAGACTTTTGTTTCTCCACTTCTTTATTCGCTTCCTTTTTGGCTAGATCTTCTTTGATCTCTGCTTTTGATTTTGTTGCTGCCACCTGGCAAAGAAATTTATCGTTATTTATTTAACTGAATAATTAAGCTAAAATCTAAACTACATTTTATGTAAAACCAGTTCACTCTTTACACTAACAGCGAGTTATTTCTCTATACTGTTCTTGTACTTTATTTCTTTTTATTTAATTGTGTAATGAAGATGAAGATCATAAAGCACATTAGTTATTCATAACTATACTGGTTTGTCAGTATACCAACTCATTATACCTCTCGCGTGCCCCAAGAAACATCGTTCAGATTGCAGAGAGAGTAGATAATGAGCAGCATGTACATAGATGGAATGGAGATGAAGTAGAGCAAGAAGTGAGGAAGACAGTTCATCACCTCTTCAGGATGCATAAACCCAGCAATAAAGTTAGCACCTGTAAAATGTTACAGACAATGCTCTATGTAAGTAAGCAATCTTTCTCGTTCTAAAAAAACCTCCTATAGGTTAAGAATGCAGAAAAACTTTTTTTGTTCAGAGACATTATTTGCTACAAAAAACTGACAACTAATTTTAAGATTAACAACATAGCTAACATTATTGTTAGGCATTTAAATTTTTTACGATAACAAACGGTATTAAATTATGATAATCAGTAGTGTCATGCACATAGATGTTGATATTAAACTATCACTACAGCATTAACACGAATCAAAGGCATATAGACTGTTTATGCGATCTTGTTTATCTGCCGGAATATTTGGCTTAAATAAAGATTCCTACATCCTGCACCAGCTGTTCTTTCTAATAATATGCACCACGAAAGAGATCGCAGCGTATATCGTGATGTTTCCCGCATTTAAGGCCCATTCACACCAGAGCTACGCTCATCACGATCGCCCCACGCTCCAAAAATTTGCCCGAGCGTGGTTGAGAGCGTGGCCAATTGGGCCCCAGCCGGGCCCAGCGCCGATACTACGATCTAATTACGTCGATACTACGATCTAAGTGCGTCTTTACCCCGATCTCACTGCGCTCAACAAGCTTTCACCACGTTCAACACCACGCCCGCATCACGCTTGCACTGCGCTCACTGCGTTTTTATTGCGACCAATCAGATCGCATTGCGTTCGAACGACGCTTGCACTGCGCCTAAGCAACGCTCACCGCGCCTCAACTGCGCGCCAGTCACGCTCCTAGTGCGACTTAATCACGCTCTAGTCAGGCGCCGACTGCGCTGGCAACGACCATATAAATACCGCGCCGCGTTCTAGAAATCATCATTCGTTCTGCCGTGCTGTTCACATCAAGATTATTTTCTACTGATTTTATACCCATAATAGTATAATAGTATGCTACAACTATGCCGCCAAAAGACTTCTATTTCTCCTCCTCATCCTCCTCAGTACGAGTACGAGCGTAGTGAGATCGGGGCCCTGGTGTGAATTGGGTATAAGTCACTGTAGCTGCAGAGCACGTCGTATGGTTGGTTTAACGTTTGGAAAAACTATATATACATTTTATACAGGGTGTAGCTAAATAAAAGCTTCCCTACGTAAGAGCTTGTATGTCTACAAAATACCATTTACTTTGGACACACTCACACAGGACGGAATTCCCCAGTGACCTTCAAAATTTTACAGTAGTAAATTTTACATATTTTCCTTTTTCCACCAAAAGTGTTGCTAGTTGTAAGCTATTGAGTACCCTGAAATGG